GTGCTTTGAGTTTGGCTAAAAGTCCAGTGTATCATGAGAGAACCAAACATATTGATGTAAGGTTGAATTTTATCCGTGATGTTCTGGAGGAAGACAAGTTTTCTATTCAGAAAGTAGCTACAGAACACAATCCAGCTGATATGTTGACAAAGGCGCTACCGACGGAGAAGTTTGAGCACTGCTTGAACTTGGTGAATATTCGTAGGAGGTAAAGTCCTCTCGGGGCATCTGGCACGAAGGAGACGACTGAGAGATACTAACGAACCTTTGGCGATTGGAGAAACTCCAAGTCAAGGTGAAGATTGTTGAAACGTGACTTGGATTTAGCGGTCTACCCGACCCTAAACCAAAGCAAAAGAGCTGTTTTAATTGGCAGGGTTCCTTTTGGGCTTATCGTAATTAATAACAAATAGGCTTAGGGTTTAGGGTGTTTTGGGGTGCTTATAAATAGACAACTATGGTTCTTAGTCAGATGACATATTGTAAATCTCTGAATCAGTACAATAAAATCTCTCCGGTTCCTGCCCATGGACGTAGGTTGACATACCGTCACCGAACCACGTAAAACCTCTGTGTTCTTTATTTGCTTTCTTTCTCGTTTTCTCATAACAAATACCATGAAAATGTATATAAATTCGATGATGTACTCATTTATATTGTGTTTAATTTAGTCTTGCAGTGCCATTCTTTTATTGGGTCGCATTCACATTTTAATTTGGAAAGTATTCAAATGTATAAATTTAAATCTTTAAAATTAATTACTCAAAAAATATAAATAAAACTATATTTATCATATTTAAGTATATATTAAAAGTATCACACTGTTTTAAAACAAAAATTACAATATTATTTTATTTTGAACTACTTACACATCTTAAAATCCCACAACTATTATTATATTATTAAAAAGTAGTCAATATTCATCATAAATGTTTCTAATAATATTATATTATTTATTCTTCTGCCACTAAAATATGTGACAAATTGTTGTAATCTTTCTTGAAAATAAAATTATATTCTATCCGTCATAAAAAGTTTATGCTCTTATATTTTGATGCGAGTTTTAATAAAAATTATAATAATAATTATTTTTTTTATTTTACAATAAAAAAAATATAAAAGTGTTATAGTTTTTTACTAACAAATAAAATGAAAATATTTTTTTTTATTATAATTAAAAAAGGAATGAATATAAATTTAAATGACTAAAACAATATTTACTAACTTGAACAAACCACACAATTGTGATGCATGAAAATTTAGGATGTGCTTTGAATAGTTGTTGGAATGATAATGTTTTCTATGAATATATTTTATATAGAGTCACAATGACCATGTAACAAAAACATAAAATCAAATTCTAAATTAAAGGAAAACAATCAAATTTTAAATAGTAGGAGAATGAATTTTATTATAGAAAATCTAGCAGTGTATTATTTTATACTCCCTCTGTCCCATGTAATATGGGTCTATTACTATAGACACGAGAATTTATGTAAAGTATAATCAGTAAGTATTCAAGAGGTGTATTACTAAAAATAATTATAGATTAAAATTAAGATAAGTAAATAGTTTAATTAAAATTAAGAAAATTATAAAATTTAAAATTTAAAATGCGATTAAAGTGCATAATTATATTTCCAAAAATAAAAATGACAAGTTATGTGGGACGGACGAAAATAGAAAATATGGACAAATTATGTGGGACGGAGGGAGTAATAATTTTAACATATATATTACATTTTATGATATATTTTTATGTATTTGTTCATTTTATCTTGTATGTAAAATCGATCATATAATACTATTAAACATAGAGAAAATTTGGCAGCATATTATTTTATAATAATTTTAACATATATTACATTTTCTGATATATTTTTATTTATTTATTCATTCTATCTTGTATGTAATATCGATCATATAATACTATTAAACATAGATTTATTTATTATAATTTTTTATAATATAAATTAGGTGGTGAAAAAAATTATCTAAATTTGTTGGACCTATCATCAATATAAAATAATAGGTGATTCACTACATTCATGACAAGAAATATTCATAATTTTGTTCCAAACTTTGTAACTACTTGTTACAATATTCGTGATAATATAACAAACTATGGACTAGTAAGAAATAGTAATGATATTGCTAAAATAGTAATGACAAGAAAAAATCTTGGTAATGCTAACACTACAGCAATCTTGCAATTTACTACAAGAAAAAATCATTTTTATAACAAAACCTTTTTTGTCTCTAAATCTATTTTTTTCCGTTACTAATGACATTAGAGACGGAAATAGGAATGAAATTACGTTAGCTACGTGAACTTTAGGGACGGAATTTTGTTACAAATATATTATTTTTTTTGTAGTGATTGTTGCATCCGTTGCACCTAAATATAATCACCATATTGTTACAATTGTATTATTTATAATTAACGATAGCAATGATGAAATTTTCATGATAATATATCAACCCTTGTATTGTTGCAACCTTTGTGGCTAAACATAGTGACCGTGATATTGCAATTATCTGTGACATAAAAAACAATTGTTGCCAACTTTTATTATTAATTAAAAATAGTCAAATTAGTATTTGTTATTTAAAAGACCATCACAATGCCACAATTTACGCAAATAGTCTAGGGTCACGAAATTGTTGCAACTTTCCCTTGCTATATAATTACGAAAGTGTCACATGTAATATATATCTTGTAATTTATTGTCACGAACATAACATATTCCCATTTTGGGAAAACCAGTAGTGAAAATCCACGGAAATTGCTCCGAACATTACGTGACCTATATATATATAAAATTATATGCATTAAAACATCGACGTTACACCTATTCTTTTTGTGGTGGTGGTCCCTGATATATGAACTTTGTATGTTGTATAAATTTACAATGCATTCTTGTGCTGTATCAGATTACAACGTAAACATATATATAACGAGATTGTGCTTGAAAAGTTAATGTAAAAAAAAAATAAAAAATTGTTGTTGCAAAGAAGAAGACTACATCACTTCAGCTCCATTTGGGCCGAGAAGTTCTACAACAAACTGATGAATATTCTAGTGCTACACATTACATCTATTCCGTTTCCATGAATTTGATTTGAAGATTTTCTCCATGTTGCACATTATTGTCACAAAACTTCCGTCGGGCCCGATTTGCATTAGGTTCGGCCGGAGGTTTGCGCACTTTCGGGTAACGGCTGTGGGTTCTCACGTAATCCAAAAAAAAAAAAACTATGCAATGTATTTGAAAAGAATTGAGGTATGGCTATGGCTTACTATTGGAAAGAATCATTTCATGCTGCAACTTCTAACTGCAGGTTTTCTTTTTGACTTTGCAAAGGTGCCAATTAGCTTTGTATGATTTTCAAGTAATAGATCTTGATCGAGGACTGCCGCTTCTCTTCAACAAAAAAAGTTCATGTTTATTGTCAACAACTTTGGAGGGTTTTTGGAGTAATATCTTGCAGGATATATTCATGGTGAGGTAATCATTATCATTCTTTTATCATATATGAAATTATTGATGACAATTAATTTAAAAAATATATAGGGATAGTAAAAGAGTTTATTTAAGCATTTAGTATTGTCTTAATCAATGTATTTGGAAAGGTTTATGTTTTTGTTTAAATGTAACATAATTTCATTCTAAATGTGACATACTAATATGTGATGCAAAACTCTGAAAGAAAATCAAAACCAGATAACCAAAATCTGAATGTCAGTTTGGTTGACTACTAACTACGGTTAAAAGGATGGGCGGAGTTTACAAATAAAAAGAGAAGTGGTACATTATTTCTTTATAATATATAATATTTATAAAAATAAAAAAATACTTAGGAAATAACTTTCATCAGGATTTTCCGGAACACACATCCTTCTATTCACACCGTTTCAGTTGAATTTATCATCTCTGAGTATTCAAAAAATTTCCTGTCGTTCCTAATTTGCAGAGCAGCAATTTTTCAAGCAGGCGCATCCACTAAACACATTGCCGTTCACAAAGGTAGTTATTTAGAATGTCCGAAAGGTTTTCTTAATCAAAATTTGCTTTTGTGGTCACAATTTGATCCGATCATTGTTTCAATCAACAATCTTTGTAATGAATTGTCAAATTATGTGGAGAGACCATATGATTATGCATGCGGTTTGAAGATTTTGAGAAGTTAGGGTTTTTCGATAACCCCAGTGTTCCTTTCCTGGTCTTTATTCAATTTTAAATTCTGCCGTTGAGGTTTTTCCCATTTTTTTAACTTCTTCTCCGTTTATGTTTTTCGCCTGCATCTCATTCGTCAACAAAATTTATTTTGAAGAGCAAATAATTTTTATGTTTTTATATATTTTGCGCAGATAGTTTACTAATTTAGCGCTTCTCTATTAGTATGTGATTTTGGAGATTTGATTTCAAGGTTGCAATTAGATCCGAAAAGTCTTAAAGACATTTACACTTTTAACCTATTAGGAACTTTTGAAGGCACAAATCATGTTAAAATCTGGAAGCACACATTGAATGATAGAGGGTTGAAAACATGTGGTTTGAGGATACATATGTTAATATAATTTTGTTTGTATACAAAAAGTAGTAGCAACTTTGGTGCCACACATATTCTTGAATCCAAAATTCAGGTAATATGGGTTATCTTATTTGTTGTTACGCCATTTTGGGTTTGCGCTAGTTTGACATATCCTTATATTCGTGTACATCATCAATACTTGTAAATGAAGCCGTACATGGGAAGAAAATAAATAGTAACTCGATGTTATGGAATCTAGATCATATTACAGCGCCACAATATTTTAGAACAAACATTGAATGCTAATTTTACTTGAAGATTATTTATGGATTGTCATACATCAATCATGCAGTCACTATATGCTTTTTGCTTTATTTCATGAATCTTCTTTTTTTCTTTTATTTGTTCTCATATGTACTCTTGTTAACTATGAGTGCAGTATTTGAGGTGAAAAAAGAACAAAAATGGAATGCAACAAGGAAGAAGCCATAAGGGCAAAAAAGATGGCTGAAAATAAATTACTTGAAAGAGACTTTCAGGGAGCCAAAAGGTTGGCTATGAAGGCACAGAACCTCTTTCCGGGACTGGATGGGTTGTCACAGTTCATTGAGATTGTCGATATGCACATCGCCAGCAGCCACAAGTTAGGTGACGCTCCTGATTACTACGGCATATTGGGGGTTGCTCCATCGGCTGATGATGATACACTGAAGAGACAGTATCGAAGAATGGCCCTCTCCCTGCACCCTGATAAGAACAAGTCAATAGGGGCAGACGCTGCATTTCAGATACTGTCGGAGGCGTGGAGTGTACTGTCTGGAAAGGAGAGCAGAAATGCATATGATTCGAGGATCAACGTACTGTCTCGGAGCCAAAGTGGCAGCGCTGCTTCAACAAGTACACCTACGGCCTTTCCAACTTCTGTTCATCACCAACAAACTTCTCCATATCCTACAGCAAGTCCGCAGTACGGCTTTCATGCAGAATTGCTGAGAAATGCACAATACACGAGCTATGGTGTGCCTTTCCCTCAAGGAGTGTTTGCAGGACTGTTAAATCCATTTCTTCAAGGTAATAGAGCTTACCAGAATCTATCCCAAGGAAGCTGGAATTTTGGATTCACACCAGTCCCCAATGTAATGTATCCACCAGTTGGAGTTCATAATCCATTCCAACCTCAAATGTCTTCAATGAGGGCAACTGCATCAGGCCTTTTTTCTCCACATCCAGCAGCTCATTATGGTAATGCTCCAAACACAGCGCAGTCGAGTTCAACTACCAACCAGCAAAGACCGGATTCATTTTGGACTAAATGTAGTTGGTGCAGAACACATTATGAATACCATAACTTGTATCTAAATAAATTTCTTGAGTGTCCTCGGTGCAAAGAGGCTTTCAGGGCAACAGAGATCCCTGCTCCTAACCTAAAAGCCCGAGGCTCACGCTGTTGGAATGTCTATCGACACACTGAGGATCTATCGACCTTCTTGAGTCGTTTGAGAAGTGTGCCTTCATCAGTTCCTGTAAACAGCAGAGACATTCCTCCGGTGATTATGGAACCAACTCCATCTCCGAGTTCTGCATTGAGAAATCCATTAATGGAGGAACCGATTAAGAACTCTGATGCTGATTGCTCAACAAGTACGGAAGGAACGGGAAAGAAGCCTGGTCTTTCTATCCTGAATGTTGGGAAGCCAGAGAGCATCATAAGAGCAGATTTTCAGAAGGCAGAAAATGCCACATTTAGGGCATCTTCAGTAAAAGTGAATGTCGATATTTCTGGCCCTGCTAAGCAGAAACTACCGATGAAGTCTTATACCAAGGGGCTATCGCATATGGAACTACGTGGTCTTCTGATAAAAAAGGCGAAGCATGAACTTGTAGGCCAGCTGAAGAAATTCGAGTTGGAACATTCATTGAATAACTTTCACACTGAAGATACTGAGACAAGGAGCGGTGGCACATTTCCTGATCTGAATGTGGAAGCTCATGATGTGGAAGCCTGTCTCAATGAAACTGTATCAATGTCTGTGCCAGATGCCAACTTCCACAATTTCGACAATGGAAGAGTGGAGAATTCCTTCTCCAACAATCAGGTATGGGCTGCATATGACGACGATGATGGTATGCCGCGATATTATGCCTTGGTTCATAATGTGATTTCCAGATCACCTTTTAAGCTCGAAATCTGTTGGCTGAACTCCAAATCCACATCTGAGTTTGGATCATTTGAGTGGATTGCTTCTGGATTCACAAAGACTCTTGGAGATTTCCGGGTGGGGAAATCAATAACAATTAACAGGTTGAATTCATTCTCTCATCCAGTGATATGGAAAAAGGGTCCAAGAGGAGTGATCCACATACTTCCAGCAAATGGAGATGTTTGGGCAGTCTACAAAAACTGGTCCTTCCAGTGGAGCTTCAACACTGAAAAGGATGTAATTCATAAATACGAGGTGGTTGAGGTGCTCGGAGATTATAATGAAGATCACGGAGTCATGGTTGTACCCCTTGTGAAAGTTGCTGGATTTACAACACTCTTCCGCCAAATCCCCGACAACAATGTGGTTTGGACAATTCCGAAGGAGGAGATGTTCAGATTCTCCCATCAGGTGCCAATGTTTAAGCTGGAGGGGATGAAAGATAAAGATGCACCTGAGGGGTGCTATGAACTCGACCCGGCAGCTCTACCATCAGAACTGCTCAAGATTATAACAGAAGCTGAAGCAGCCGAGGCAACCACTCAGAGGGTTTCTGAGCATCGTGCCCTTGTTGAAACGATGGATCCAAAATTAGTTGAGGGTTTTCGGAAGGGAAATGAAGGTTCCAAACTTCTAAAGACGTATTTTAGAAGAAAGAAAGGCAGGCAGGCACAAGGTGAAGAAGACAGAGAATCTGTGAACAATTCCATGAATGAAGAAACTTGTATATGACTTATGTGTTTCTCATTCTGATCATCAAAATGTGTATAGATGTAGAAAATTGTAATTTGTTAAGGATGAAAAATTCATCCTTTATAGAAGATGCAACAATATTGGAACTATCATATTCTTACTTCAAACGTTTGGATATATGATATATATTAAGATCTTTTTTTATCATGAATTACAGCAAGTTCAAAATTAGGCATCCAAGTAGTTTGATTTTGCATACTTATTATGCATTAAACATGGCAACTATATACTTGTTTATCATAAATACTTATTGGCTTTGGTCAAATAAATTGAGCCCAATTAGATAGATATACATTAGGGTCCAACAATATGTTTTGAGAAAAACAAAAAAAAAAAAAAAAAAAAAAAAAAGAAAAAGACTTGACTGCAATAAAAGGAAAAAAAAATTCATATCAACCAAAAAGTACACCAAATATCAAGGCCCATCTAAAAAGAAAAGAACAACATCTTATTGAATAATAAAACCAATAACTCCTTACAATATATACCAATAGGTCTGTTTGTGATGGTTATGCACGCCGTCCCTAAAAGTTTCCTATTAATGCTTGTTGATAACAAATATTTTGAATATAGTTTCTTAGCAATTTCTATAAGCATACGTGGTGATTCTTGACTATGTCCTTATTTGTACGAAATTGTGTAGGAAAATTAAGTGTGAACTCTTTTTTGTACCAATTGATGTACCGTGGTATTTTTTAGTATTTTAGCGATGAAAGAAATTGAAGTAGGTAAAAGTTCCAAAATTTAATGTTTAGAAGGCAGGAGGTCATTTCATGAAACTCAAAGTGCGCATGTTTCGCACAGTCACTAAGTGGCTGCTGATGTGTTTAGTTGGCTTCTCAATCGAAGTTGGCACCATGCTCCCAATTTTTTTTTTTTTTTAAATATTATGTTGCATGGAACACACTCTAAACCCATTCAAAAAATGTTATTTCTATTTATATCTTTAATAAATAAATATATTTATATAAATTCAAAATACCCATTTAATTGTAAATTAATTTATATTAATCATAAATAAATTTTATTAAAATACAACTATTAAAATAATTAAATACATATTTTTAATTTGTTTTATTCATATATATATATTACATCATAAATCAAAAGAGAAATTGCTCATAACTCAAGTGAGGTTTGAAAACTCAGTGTAATTCTTCCATGTGGTTTAAAAATCACGTGATACACCTTCATGTTTTCTAGAATATTTATTAAACCCTTGCCATCTACCCTTAACAAATCATACCTGATACACGCTACTAATGTGAAATCCAAAGTTAACATACTTCATCAATACAGTACAATATTATTGACGTGTTTCATGTAGAAGGGGAGGGGGGGTTGATGCAAAATTCTATAAAACATGAGAGAGTGTCATGCAACTTTTAAATCACATATGAATTTTGGACAAGTTCGCCTAAATCAAATATTAATTAAAAAAATCACTCTCAATCCCATTTCCAACTCATGAATCCAACCGGTAACCAAATGCACCATTGGTTTTCATTCAAAGGCCACCTAACTCGGGGTGGGAGGCATATCAACCTTCCATTTTTGCATATGCAAGGTTAGAAGAGTGATAATCAAAATGCCAGTTGAATGTTAGTTGTGTTGGGACAAGTCAACTCAACATGTCCACTTTGGGATTTGTCCACACGGATTTGTTTGTGGAGATGCTCCATAGTGGAGTTTATGTGAGACTATGTGAATTTTTCTTTACATCATTTCAATGTGAGACTTGGGTTTGTATGGAATTATTATAGCAAAAAAAAATATTTTTATAATATTTTGGGATAAAGAAATTAATATTTTAAAATAAATTTTATTTCTATTTTATATATTAGTTATAATTATGGAAACAATTAAACGGATAAATATCGATAAAAATAAATATAAAATATAATATATATAATAATATAATAATAATAAAGGTGATGATGATGAATATAATGTTTATAATAATAATAATATAATATAATATATATAATAATAATAGTAATAATATAATAAAATATATATATACATACAAACAAACATGCTCATCCTCACCGTGAGCAGAAGGGAAGGGAGAACGCAGGAGAAGAAGGCAAACAAGAAGAAATGAGAAGAAAAAAAAAAACAATTTAGTCGTTCGCTTTCGATTTAGACTTCAGTATTATATTGCTTGTTATACGTAGAATTTAATTATGAATTTTAATATGAATTTCGATATTGGGAATATTAAATTAGAAATTTTTCAAAAATTCATAACTGGCTATTTGGCTATTTAATCGACGAATTTCTTTAGCTGATAGCCTATTCGTAGTCCTAGCGTTATATTTTGAGAATTTCGTATCGATCCGAGCCGAATTGAAAACGGCAGTGTATACGCCTGTTTATTCATATCTTTAAGTATTTTTATTTAATAATCGAAGAATATAAATATTATGAGGTATAAGAGTTTTATAACTAAAATATCGTATTATACTAAATATAAAAGCTTGAAGCCTAACGAGCTAATTATAGAAATTAGCTTTTGAATAAGCAGGTAGCTCATATGAATAAGCATATAACTCATCCGATTTTAGTAAATAATGTGGCAGGTGTACGTTGGAGGAGATTTGGGTGATATTGCAAAAGCTAAGGAGTGTCGATAAAAGGTAAGTACTAGGAAATTAAATCTAATTTTAAAAAATTAGGTATGCATATTACGCGTGATTATGTTTATAAGGTTAATGTGATAATATGTGAATCATTTTGTCAGTGCACGTATATATTTATATATATATGTGTGCGTATGCATGTGAGAGACTTCACGATTTATGATATTTGATATATGTATTTGATTGCGTAGGTGAATTTATGAAAAGGAGGATAGGTGAGCTGTCTCACCAGCCGTTTTCGGTAAATTCACTTATTTGACATAATACACACATATTGCACGGTTTATCGGATATGTTTTATGGATCTATCGTTTAGTCGCCGTATGCGGTAGTCCTAGGCAAGGACATCATCTGGGGTTAGGATATTCGACCCTGATATATCGTAACACTTTGGCGATAGTGGACGATAGTAGTCGGACAACTGGGTGACATAGTCGACGGTCATTCAGGGATTAGACCCATTGTAGTTGAGACGTATTTGGTCTAATCATTCGTGTTCGGTGTTGTTCCACTCATTGGAGTAGCTACTAGTGAGGTCTACCGGTAGTTTAGGATCATATGCCAAACTCCAAACGTGATCCTGTTAGGGCGCGCGAGGAGGAGTGGAGTTTCCGGGTTTCCTTTGGGTGATTCCAGGTTGCACGGATTCTACTACATTATACGGGATAGGCTAGTCAGTGGGGGTCTTATCTTCGCTATCACAGACTATAGGGCGTGTTGTGGTTAATGGCGATAACGTTCGGCTATTCATGTAATGATTGTGGGAGTCGTATGGTGGGTATATGGAAGTGACCGGATGACCATTATATTATTATTAGTTTATCAGGTCCTTCATTGAACCGAGGATTTTTCGGCTATTTATTGATGATGGTCCAGTGAGCCAATTGTTTGGAGCCGAGTTTACTCATGTTGCTCACTTCGGCGGATATATATATATATGCATGTGCATTATTGTCAAGTTTGATATCTTTGTTGCATCATTTCACTATTGAAATGACACTACACATATTTTATGATTGACGGAGATTAAACTTTATTTTGAAAGGTATGACATGACATATTTCATGTTAGTTCTTAATATTGATTTAATTCTAGACTGCTTTTAAGAAAAATATTTGTTTCAGGTATGCATGGCATCTCCGAGACAGGGGACATCTCGGGATATAGAAAGACGGGTTGAGTGAATGAACTTACATTTATTGTAAATTTTTAACCGAAAAAACCTCTTGTTTAGGAGTGTGTTTTGTAAATATTCATAAATCATTTTTTGTTATATAATAATGCGCTTTTATGGTTAAAGTTAGTCTTAACACTGTATTGTAGGGCCCAAGTAAGAGGTGGCGACATCATAATGCAGTGTGGCGGTAGCATTTCCAGTATGAGCCAACTGGGGGTGTTACATTGCACCCCAACAAACCTCCTCTCAAACTAAAGACCAACTTATGGGCCTTCTTTGCCACCTTGCACCGCCTAATACAAATGGATCTGCTGTTTGACAAACTATAACTATCGAGACCGACCCAACATCGCCAAGAGACTTTCGACACAAGGCACCTCTATTGGTCACGAGGGACAGTCCACCACCACCACCAATGCCCAATGTCACCCAGTCCACTTCACTATCTAATCGGGCTCTGATACCATTGTTGGGACTGGTTTAACTCAACACTAGTATAATATTTTCCGCTTTGAGCTGAGCCCCACGGATTGTTTAGGGTCTTCGTTTTATTGTATATATTTGTTATTGGACATGCTCAAAAAAATCTCATACTAGTGGAATTTATGTGAGACTATGTGAATTTTTCTTCACATCTTCCAATGTGGAATTTGGGTTTGTACCCCAACAAGTTGTCAATAATCGTCAACCTTCTAGTAGCTCTACTAGCATCTATAATAAGGTTTGATATTATTCATTTTAAGGACTCACTTTTTATTTTTCATTTCTGCCCAATCTGAATCACAAAGAGCCCAATCTATAAGGGCTTCAAGTCACCTCACTCGCATAAGCAATTGACACCTGTAGTGGTAGAAGTTGTGTGCAAAACAACTATTCCCTATGTGCATGTTTGCACTTAGATAAATTTACTTTTCTAATAGTATAATCACGAACTTTAGTTCTTAGTAGTTAATAAAATATCATCATTCTCCATTTCTCCAACACTATGGATGACATTTATATAAGAAATTCTTTCACGAAATGCCTTACGAGAACCCTAATTAGAGCACATATAAGCAACTTAACCAAATTTAGGTAGAAAGTTTCAAGAGGATTCTACCATAGTGAATGGACCTAGGATTGAACGATCACTAGTTTAAAAGTCACATTTGATCTCAACT